ATAGGATAGGATAGGATAGGATAGGATAGGATAGGATAGGATAGGATAGATAATGTAATGGAATATATTAAAAAGCTAGGGTTCTTCTTTAAAATATGTCATATTTCATATAATTGCAGTATAATTATATAGATACTTAATTCATCCATAATGTTACACCCAAGAACCAATGTGTTTCAAGAAATATTTTGGTAATGTTTTTAAGGTTTAATAAATAATTTGAAATAGCATCAATGATTTGGGGAAGCAGGTCCAAGGGAGTGCCTTCAGAAATAGATTGAGGATCCACAGACCTCCACGGAGTCCACTAATTGCAGCCATCAGGGGGTTGGGCTGGATGGCCTCAGAGGTCCCTTCAGAAGCCTCTTCAATCCTTGAATGTAATGGAGGAAGAGAACCAGCATGCCTAACTTTTCTCCAATGTTGAATTGGGCATTTTTTAAAAATTTCCTTTGGCTTTCTCTAGACTTTTTTTATGCTCCTTTCTCTGTTTTCTTGCAGAACAAGGATGGAATGGTGAACCTTACAATGGACGACGTTCAAAGAGAAACGAGCATCAGAAGGCAGAAGAGTCCTGTAGAAACCAAGCAGGATCAGTAAAGAAGGAGGGAAATCCAGTGGAGGTCTTGAGAGATCCCTTTTGCCTAGGGAGCAACCTCCCCGAAATTCCAATTCGACATGAAAAGCCAAAGGGAGCGAGGACCCACAGTTGTCAAGTTTGTGGGAAGAGCTTCAACCGTAAATCAGATCTTAATGTCCACTGGAGGATCCACACAGGAGAGAAACCATATAAATGCCAGGAGTGCGGAAAGACCTTCAGGCAGCTGGCAAGCCTCTCGTCCCACCAAAGAATCCACACCGGAGAGAGACCGTATCAGTGTTCAGAGTGCGGGAAGGGCTTTTATGACAAATCCAGCCTCGTCATACACCAGAGGATTCACACCGGGGAGAAACCGTATCAGTGCTTGGAGTGCGGGAAGAGTTTCCACCAGAGTTTTGGTCTTACTTCCCATCAAAGGATCCACACCGGCGAGAAGCCATATGTCTGCACGGACTGCGGAAAGCGATTCTATGATAAACCACACCTCGTCAGACACCAAAGAATCCACACTGGGGAGAAACCGTACACGTGTCTCGAGTGTGGAAAGAGCTTCAGCCAAATCACCAGCTTCTCATCCCATCAAAGGATCCATACAGGCGAGAGGCCATTTATCTGCTTAGAGTGCGGCAAGAGCTTTTATGACAAATCCAACCTGCTCACCCACCAGAGAATTCACACGGGGGAGAAGCGGTATAAATGCCTGGAGTGTGGGAAGAGCTTCAGTCAGAAAAAGAGCCTCACATGCCATCACAGTATCCACACCGGCGAGAAACCATATCGTTGTCCTGAATGCGGCAAGAATTTCCGGCAACACACAGACCTCACCTCGCACCAGAAGATTCACACCGGGGAGAGGCCATACCAGTGCCCTGAGTGTGGAAAGAGGTTTTATAGAAAAGCAGACCTGAACAGACATCAGAGAATTCACACCGGGGTAGAAAGGCCGATTATTGCCTGGAGCGTGGAGATGGCCTCGGACGGAGTATCACTGTTACGTCCGCTTGGAGAACTCACGCGAGAAAACCAGCCCATCACTTCGGAGATTAAACAAGAAGTTTATTGCTGAAAGAAACTATATATGGTGTCCAAGAATCTGCTGGGGAAAAATACTTCACACCTGGGAGGTAAAAAAAAAATTAAGATGGTAGTCATGATGACACAGTCAAAGCCCCACCCCTTTTAAACACCTCACTCCACATCTCTAAGTAAACCCTCAGCAGAATTTCTACCAAATCTGAAAGTTTGCTTGCTATTTCACACTGTTCCCACTAATCTGGGTAAAAGTGGGATCTTATTGTTGGTTGTTTGCTGATGGCTTTGCCTTTACATTTCAGTCAGGGGTTTTCAGGGCTATCCTAGGTTAAAGAAGTGATACTCCCAACAGCAAAGACAAGGGATTACCATGTTCGAAGATGGTTTAGGCTTACAGCCTCTCCTTTTCCTCTTCCCTCTGGAAGCAGACTTCCTCATGCGAGTCTAAACCCAGATCTTATTGGAAAATAGAGGTCTTCTCTTTTGCCAAGGGCCAAGAAATTTTGGAACTTCCTCCTGATAGAAGTTTCCTTTGTCCTTTCCCTGCTGGATATCTGCCACCGTTTCTTGCTGCACTGAAATTCATATGCAATCTTTGAGGGAATGGTGACTATTTTTTTAATTCCTTTTTTTTAAAAATGGTTTGTTTATGTTTCTTCTTTTTAAGTACTATGTTTCTTACTGCTTTTTGGGGAGGGGGGAGTAGGATTTTGTAATTTATTGCTTTTTCTTAGTGGCATGGAATTAAGGGAAAGGGGGCAGGCCGAATTCTTTTAAACAATGAAAGCATCAAGGGCAGAGTTTTTCCAATTGTAAAACAAGGTGAGGATTGCATTCCCTTGGAACTGTTGGGAAACGAAGAAAAAATTAAGCGGTGTGAACGAAGGTGCGTTGCTCATTGGAAACATCTGGAAAGCACTTTCTGCTACCTGGGGAATTCTGAAAAAAAGGTATCACTGTTCATGAAGTCACATTTATTCCAGAAATAGAGGTGCTTTAGGCACCAAATTGCCACCACCATTTTTTGCAAAAAGTGGTGGTAGGGGGTGGAACCTTGGAAAGAGTAAAGCAGGGGTTTGGGCCACACACTAGTTGTGGACAATGAAACGTCAGGCATAAATAATGTTCTGGGATGCCTGCAGAGATAAAGTCAGATAAAAAAGTGGTCTGCTACTGCTGCTCTCTTTGCAATCTAGTCTACTCCAGCAGGATTTCCTGGTGGCCTCCTATCTGAGCATTAATTTGGTCTGATCCAGCTTGGCTAGCCGGGTCTCAATTGTTGTGGTGTTCTGCCAATTAAAAAAAAAAATCTCACTTTTAGCATGTTTTCTCTTCATTTTTCTGAGTTTTCCTCAATATATTTAGGGAAGGGCAGTTTTGCAACCTACAGTTTTGAATTAGTCTTTTTCCTACTAATTTCTTTACCATTGAATAGGGTATTCTTTCATTATTAAAATCTAACCAACAACAAGGAAATTAGATCCTGGTACAAGTATGGCGTTGGAAGAATAATTATTATTTGGAAGCGCACCATTGCTTTCCCAAGAACAAATATTGGGGGACCAGCGCAAAATTAAAACAGTGATCATGACATTAAAGCGATTTCTCACCTTGATAGCTCTTCAGGACTTTGAAAGTCTGCATCTTGAGTAGGCCACATTTTGAGGTTAAATTTGCAAATACACACACACGTGCACATACATACAGTATATGTTAGCCCTGTGAGTTAATCCGGACACGAAGCACAACCAGGAGTACTAGCTCTGCCTTTATTGTAAGGTTACGCTAACAGAACCTTGCAAGACTAAAAGTATTTCTCCCCTCCTCTCCTTTTACTCTACTAGGGAGGCCCCCTTCTGAAACATTTCCCACTCCTGCCCGCCTCCTGTGGGCTGAGACATCTTTTACACGCTGGTTGTCCAGTCTGTGTGTCTCTCCTGTCTCCCAAGGTCGTTCCCACATACCATCACATCGTATAACAAACATTGACTTGATTTAAAATCTAAATTAAAACGAGGCTGTCTATATTACATTTACAGATATAGACTTCCTGCTCAACAGAGATGCGTAATAGCAGATTAAGCGCCCAGCCAAATCTTCTAGACAAAGCCGGTGTGAACCACCAGGAGGGGAGTGACTGATGGAAGACTCCCCTGTCCGCTCCAGCACCAGCTGACCCCTTGCTCTTCCCTGAAAACAGACGTCGTACGGTCACAGCATTCTAGAGTTGGAAGGGACTTTAGAGGCCATCTGGTCCAACCTCCTGCTCAGGGAGGATCCCTTAAAGCATCTCTGAGATCTCTCTTTGAAGATCTCTAGCAAGGGGGAACTCAGCACTTCACGGGGCAGCCTGTTCCACCGGCTGATTGTTTGAACAGCCAGGAAGTTCCTCCTGGTGCCTAGCCTGAATCTGAACATTTCTAGTTTTACTCCATTGATTCTGGTCCTGCCCTCTGGGGCAGCAGAGAATAAGCCCATTCCCTCTGCTATGAATTAACCCTTCGGAGACTTGAAGACTGCTATCCTGTCTCCCTTCAGCCCTCTTTTCTGCAGGCGAAACATCCCTGGATCCTTGAGCCCTTCACCATCTTGGTAGCCCTCTCTTCTGGTTCAATTCACTCCAGTTTGGAGTGTGATGCCCAGAAACAAACAGCCAATTTGGACTTCTGCTCCGGTTAATACACCCCAAGATCACCTTTGCCTTTTTTGCCACTGCATTACACAACTGGCTCATGTCTAACGTGGTTCATAAAGGAGATGTTGTATGACATTTTGTATTAAGTCATAAAATGTTTTATGATCATTTTTATGTCATAATATGTTTTATAAAATTTGCCAAATTTCAATCCCACAGGAGTCACAGGTCCCGGATTTTGGATGCATTCTGTAAATTAGCCCCTTTGAGGTACCTTGGTTCAAAAAATGGTTGCCCTGCGATGCACCCTTTTGCCCAGTTAAAGGTTACACGTAGACAAACAGGAGAGTTTTAGCGATATATAAATAGGCATAGGCATCTGGTACAAGCTGCAATAATGTCAACATCATCGTCGTCGTCATCAGTCAAATGAAATGAATTAAATACAGATAGTCCCCAGTTTAGGAACAAGTTCTGTTCCCAAGGTCTGTCCTTAAGCTGAATTTGTATGTAAGCTGGAGCAGTATTATTGTATAATACTGTATAAATCAGTGTTTCTCAACCTTGGCAACTTTAAGATGTGTGGGCTTCAGCTCCCAGAATTCCCCAGCTAGCCTATCCCCCATTTCGCACCTATCCAAACCTCTCCCCGAACCAGATTTCCCGCCTCTCCGCCTCAAAAGTGCATAAATTCTGTGCTTTTCTCTCGTTCGGGGTCCCTCCTTCTTGCAGTGATCCTTGCAATAAACCCGGCTCTTCTCCCCCGCGTTGCGATCCCGTCTCTGGCAGAAATTCCTCGAGCGGAGAGCAAGAAATGCCTTTCTTTGCGGCCGGCGTTCATACGCCACCTCCTTTTGCGAAAAACACCCTTCCAGACAATCCGCTATTAAGATGACCTCTAGCCTCCTAACGGACGA